AAAAGGAAGACAGACTTCACGTCATTCATCTGTTCAATACTCTTCCGAACAACAGGAAATTTTGCCAGCTAATGATTCTCTTGCTTACAGTGACTCAGCTGGTAGCTTTTTAAAAGAAGTAGACCGAGACATAGAACAAATAGTAAAGTGTACAGACAATAAGAGAGAGAACCTCAATGAGGTAGTATCGGCCTTAACAGCACAACAAATACATTTTGAACCTGATAACAAAAACACTCAACGTAAAGATCCCTATTATGGAGCAGACTGGGGAATAGGGTGGTGGACAGCTGTCGTGATAATGTTGATAGTAGGTATAATAACACCAGTGTTTTATTTGTTGTATTATGAAATTTTAGCTAAGGTGGATGTTAGTCATCATTCAACAGTGGACTCTTCACATTTACATTCAAAAATCACACCCCCATCACAGCAGAGAGAAATGGAAAATGGAATTGTGCCAACTAAAGGAATACATTTCGGCCAACAAGATGATAATAAACTGTATAGTCAAGATTCTCAGTCACCTGCTGCTCAACACGAAACATAGCAATTAGTTCGTAATCAAACGTTAGTAGTCACATGTGCATCTGGAATGTGGTGAATCAGTTATATCCAATAATCACTTCAAAGGCAGAATTTAGAGAGATTGAGATGCTTTTGTTTTTAACAAAAGGATTTCACACTTTGAACATTTTTTGAGCAACTAGTTGATGTTGAGAGCAGTTGATCCATAAATCTGGTGTGTCAATGTTTCAAGCAGAAATTAATTTAAACCTGTGTTTAGGAAGTTCTTAACTTGGAAGATGTATCATTTTTCTTAAGATGTATGTTTAAATTTTTTTTTTAGGTAATTTTTAAAAAGTTTATTAATGTTAAATTTATGATGCAGAATGATAGCATCAGTTATCTGCAGCTGAAAAAAATTTACTACTATGAACCCCTAAAATATTCAGTTGCAAGAAAGTTTGATTCTAAAATTATTCATGGTAGCATACGTAACACACCACTTCAAAACCTTTAAAAATTACATTTAGCACATGTACTATGAAAGCATACATACAAAGAGAAAGGTGAAAGTGATTTATAATTCCTACAACAGAGGCCAAGAAATAGATTAAAATATTTTCAAGACCCCAAAATAATGTATTATGGTTGGGAAGTCAGTAGAACACTGGAATAGGTGAAGACCTGACAGTAATTTTTGTCTTAAGAATGCTTTCTTTAGGACAGACCCTTTAACCTCACCTCTGTGCATCTGTTTTTAAAATGATTATATTTGTCTCTGATATTTGAAAGCACTTTTGTAGTTTTGATGATGAAAAATATGTTAAACATGTACATATTACCATTATTTAAGAAATAATTCCTTATATACTGTGATAAATCATTGCTGTTACATACAGTAACATGCCTTAATTATATTTAATGCCTTACTGCTTTAAGTAAATCCAAGTTTCAGAATTAAAATTAAGCATTATTTCAGATGGTCCAGTCAGATGCGTTACATAGGCTATATAAATTTGTCTCCATTTTCACCATCAAGCACAAATAATTGGGTCAAAACTGTCTGAGGTCTGTTGAAGAAAACGGTTCATTAGGCAAAAATGAGTAGAGGTCTTTTATATTAACTGTAACAGACAAATTAGTAATCCCTTAACCTCTGTTTTCAAAGAGAAAATACCCAATTTAGACTTTTTTCCTGAACTATACATGTAGCATCAAATTGGGAAACAAAGGCCAAAGGTGTATAGATTGCTTGAAAAGGGCGTGATAGTGCCTCTTTTTATCTGTTGAGTCGGCTATAGTCTGGCTAAGGAAGAAGCGTTTGCATACTGATTCCATCATTTAATCTTTAAAAGTATGTGTTCTAAAAATGTAACCAGAATGATTCTTCAATAGAAATGAGATTTGGTGGAGTCTGGATTGCCTGTTTTGTATATAATATATACTTAAGATATATAATACCACCTCATTTTCTGGGCATTATTTCCTAATTGTTGATGTTTTAGGCTTTTGATAAGTCATTTTATATATTTCAAATTTCAGTCGGAATAAGTAAATATTTATGGCAAGTGGAGCTTTATGTACTTTCAGAAGACCATCAGGAAAAGACAGGACAAAGAAGTCAAACATTAAAGCCTTTGCAAATATTAGAGGACCTTAGACAATTACCAACAAGTGTTTAATAGGGAAGTTACAGATTGGTTCTCTTAGCAAATTAAACATTTAAAAAATAGTTTTAATGTGCCTTGGGCATCTTGAAAAGAAAAGTGTGATATAATTTATGCTCAGTGTTAACTGGTCAGTTTACATTGTATTTATTAAGCCTGCTGAAAAATGAGGTTTTAAGGAAGAAAATGCAGATTATTTTAGGGTAAACAGGCCAGGTGTCCTTTGAAGAACTTTGTTTACATCAAATTGATGAAATTACAGTCAGTGATTCCTTACCTTTTTGCTAGTTGTACTTTGAAATTGTTATGGGTTCGATTTCCAAAATATGTTACTTATTTTTAAAGGAATAAGGTGTGCTGTGTATTTGTTGATTAAAAACCATTTGTCTTGCAGAGTATCCTTTTTTGAAGGAAATATACATCCTTATAACACATCAGGTAGTTTTCTTTTTTCTATATTTAAATTATATATTTTTGAATTAATTGAATATAATTTGAGTTACATATAATTCTGTATAAAGGTTACCTATTGAATTACAGTTCTTATCCGTTCAGAAAAGAATTTTCTAAGCATTTAAAACATTTGGAATAATTTTAGTTTCTAAAAAGTACTAATGTAAGTTAAGTTTGTATCAAATGCAAATTACCTTGTATAACTAATTAACAAGCACAGTTATTGTTTAACATTGTGATTTTAATTGTGTTGACACCCTTATTTGAATCTGCTGCTTTACATGTGGCCTGTGTGTGTGTCTGCATGTGTGCACGCATGCACTTGTATGCAATGTAAAAGTAACAGCAGAATTACTGCATTTGGTTCACTTAAAATTTTGGAGTTAGCAAGTAAAGAAAAAGCTGATAGTTTTATGAAGTCTGGGTTAAAATAAAATTGCTATCCCACTCCTAGGAAGTTATGGGGTTCCTGTTTTCAAAAGGTATGTTAAAAGTGGTTATAGACTCTGCTAGCCACATTAAAAATTAGAAGACTCATGTTAAATTATCTTCTCCAAAGGACTTTATTTATAGCTTTTCTTTTGCTGGACTCTACCTGCTTGGCTCAGTGTCCTGAAGTTTTTTTTTAAATGAACCACTACTTAGTAATTAGTTCTTTTTAATTTAAAGTATTTACTTCTAAAATTACCTAGTTGGAAATATGAAGGATACGCTTAGTTTTAGAAATATCATGAAGCAAGGATCTAGTCAGTGTTACAGGATAAAAGTGGAGTCTTTTAAAGTCTGTATTTAAATGGTGCACTGATGGGATTCATTTTTTATTTGAATTACAAAAATGTTGCTCAGGTAATCAGTATTTTCTTCCACGTATGTGCATATTGCACTGTTAGATCATAGAAATATCTGAATGCTTTAATTTTTATGTATGCAAAATCTATAAATCTTTTGTATAATGTATTTTATACAAATGTAACTAGAACATTATGTTAGCATGTACATCTGTAAAATGTTTTTAAAATTTTTTGCCCCTTATTTTTCATATTTTGAAAGATCTGTAACATGTAATAAAGTTTCTATTATTCAATCTAAAATGGAAGCCAGTGAATTTAATTGAATAAAGCAAAGCTTTTCTCCTCTACTCTCAAACGAATACAGAGATATTATGTAAGATACAGCAAATTGGCAGAGGTTTACCAATTCAGATTTCCTATTTGCTACAGTGAGGCAGAATACCCTGGATTATCTCTAAGACATAGATAAAACATTTTAGATGAATGTTCTTTGGGGGATTTTCCTCAGGGTAAGATCTGGTAAGGCATGGTCCAGGAATTGCTATGAAGTTGTAGATGAGTCATTATCTACAGATTATAACCTGCTCTATTTATATGTAGTTTTAATTTATTATAAAACAACCTCAATACTGTTTAAAAGATGCTTAGCAGAAAAATTGAGAAAGGTCTTCGGAGCTTTTAGTTAATGGAAGAATGTGTATAAACCCTGTTTTTTTCTTTTTCCCATTTTCAAATGCATCTTGATCTTAAAATTGTGTTTTTTAAATAAAATGGAATAGTTTTACTACAGGGGTTTTTTTTATTATTTTTTTTTTTTTTTTTTTTTCTGAGACAGACTCTTGCTTGGTCGCCCAGGCTGAAGTGCAGTGGCATGATGGTTCACTGCAGCCTCGAACTCCTGGGGCTAATTGATCCTCCCATGTGAGCTTCCCAAGTAGCTGGGACTACAGGCACATGCCACCACACAGGCTTGAGATTTTAACCATGTAAAAGCAAAGCCATGGACACTACGTTTGAAGGTAGTGAAGTGAAAAGTTTAACAAGAATCTCCATGGACACTACATTTGAAGGTAGTGAAGTGAAAAGTTTAACAAGAATCTTCTGAATGTCTTAACATTCTCTGGTATCCAGTATAAGTCAGCCCAAGCACGAATGATCACACTAAATTATATTGTCTGCCAAATCTCTTAAGTTTGTTGTCATAACTGTGTGTGTGTGTGTGTTGCCATCTTGGCTCACTGAAGCCTCAACCTCCTGGGCTCAAGCAGTCCTCCCACCTCAGCTTCCTCTTGGCCCACTGAAGCCTTGACCTCCTGAGCTCAAACAGTCCTCCCACCTCAGCCTCCTGAGTAGCTGGGACTTATAGGCACAGACCAGCATGCCCGTCTCACAACTTTTTTGAATAATCATTACCCAGAGTTTTGTTGTTTGTGGTGATTGTTTATTCAAGACTATTTGGAACAAGCATCCCTGCTTAATACATAGTTACTAGGTAAGCTCTGTATTAACAAATTAGTTTTCTCTCCCAAATAAACATTTAAATAAGTTCAAAACAAAATATCTTACTATAAAACGAACACAATTTTGTAAGAATTTAATGTGTAAATAAATACAGAAAAATAAGCATTACAGCAACCAAACAGTTTTGCTCATGATAGCAATTTTAAAGACACTTCAACAAATACTTTTATGTAACAGGCTAATTCTGCAAAATAACATTCACTTTCCTATGGAATAATTTCACAGTCTCAGATTTTAAGCCAGAAAAATGAGATTCATGCTGGTAAAGCAACCTGCAAATCCTGCTTGTTCTCACAACTACTATACTTTAACATTGTAAAAAGATCTTTCAAAGGGGGAAAGAAGGCTCTTAAAGGGTATGGCTGGTACCTCCCAGAGTAAATCCTTGCCCTAAGGGGCTGCCCTGCTATCTGCAAGACTAAAATTGTCATGACAAATTCAAAGCTAAAAAAAGAAATAACCTTTATCTTCAGTGTATTTGCCTGGTTCAAGTGGTTATCTGCAGATTTATAATAAGTAAGTAAACAGAACAATATTGATAAGATTTCCGAGAACTAATTGGTATTTGGCTCTGGTACTAAGGAGTTGAAAGAATAAAACACCTATGTTAATTATCAACCGCAAATGACAACTTTTTGTGAGGTTTCTATTCTACGGCTTACTTTATTCATATATTCCATTTAGAATCTTAAAAATTTTTTGACAACTTCCTTTAAACAAGAAGTAATTCACAAATGGTTAACACAGCTCTAAACTAATAAGATAGGTCCTCACACCCATCTTGAATTACTTAAGAAAGTATTGCCATTGAAAGTGATCTTTTTCCTGAGAAATTCATGTTGCAAAATGGCACAAGACAATACACATTTTCTCCAATTTTCTGCATGAATACAAGATAGGAAAATAAGATTATATTTTGTGAGGAAAACATGTTTCTTAAAATTGTGTTTTCAGTTACTCTCCAAACTACAAATTTTTAGAGGGTGAGGGCCAAATGTAAATTAAGAACTGATCTTTAAGGCAAGAGAATGAATACATATGGTAAATTTTGGTTGGTGTTTACACAATTTTTGTAGGAAATTGTTTATGAGTAGAGACACTAAGGCACAGAAACAACCAAGCTCAGGTTCAAGGTTGAGTTTAATAGTACAGGTAGAAACAGAATCTAGGGATCTGATTCTCACATTAGAGGATAATAATATCTTCCTAAAGGGGAAAAATAAATTTTTTTGGTAGATCACATTGATAAATCATTTTTGAAATATATAATATGAATTTCCTTGAAAATCTTTGGCATTTGTGAGAGTCTTTGTAGGCTGAGGTTTTTAGGTATTTTTCCCAAAATATAAAGTTAGGAGAGCTAGCTTTGAAGTTAAACAACAAAAAAAATTAATCTTAATTTCAAAATGACCTGAGTTCATTTTGCATTTTTATATAAATCAATTGTACAGCTTGAGTACTCTGAAACATAAAAGGCCACCACACTTCATAGAGTTCACACACATGCATTCTACATGGTATTTATATGACCAGAACTTACTTCACATTTACATAAAATATAAAATTAAATAAAATGTCTTAGTCAAATTTTTCATAAGCCCAACTATTTGAAGATGTCAGTTATTACAGTGGGATGATTAATTCATATATCATACAGTATTAAGTTAGTCCCAAATTCAAGTATTTATAATATTCACCCCATGTGAGAGTTTCTTTGTACTGGCTAAGATGTGAGTTGTGACATTCATATTGCTCAGTTTGGTATTTTTCCCTGTGTGTATGTTTTCCATCACAAAACCTCTATCTCACAATTCTGTACTTGTAAGAGCTCAGGTAGGTTTATGTAGTCATAATGCAGTAGTCTAGAACACACCATGTAAAGGTAAAAAATAAAATTATTTTCAAGTTTCTTTGTTTTTAAAGTGCTCCATGTGCTGTATTATATCAACTTTCAGGTTATAGAAATCTATTATGACTAGCAGTAGTTATACAAAAGATCAGCAGTTAAGCAAGAATGATTTCTTCAAGTACATAGACATAGATTATAATAGAGCAAAAATTCTTTAGGCACATTCATATTCAAATAATAATAAAAAAAAAAATCCATGAGAGTACGTGAGAGAGATGGCAGAGGTGTTTAGAAGGAATGTCAGAATGTCAGGGACTAATTTGTAAGGTTACTAGTATGTAAACTCAAAGTGGTTTTGAATATTTTGGTAACAAATATTTGTCCAAAACAAAACAAAACAAAACAAAAATAAATATTTGTTCCTTATCAGAGACAAAATACAAATCAAGTCTGTCCAAATGTTCAGAAGCTGCGTCATAAAAATATTTTTTGAAAAATTTCATGCCTAATAGGTTGCTTCATCCATGTTGTCATCACTGTCTGCGCCAAAATCATCTCCATCTTCAAAGTATGAATTAATGTAGTCATTTTCCTAAGTGAAATGATACATTCCTTTGTCAATATTAAAATGAATGAGTAGTAAGAAAATATTCCAGGCTTAAAAGTCTCTGCTTTTTTATCAGCTTCAAAAACACAACAGTTTTCGCTTGTGTTTACCTGTGCTACTTTCTTCCTTAAGACCACCACCTCCCACTCTTGTCAGGCACCAACTAGCTAAGAGAACATGAACGGTTGCCCATACCATCTCGATAGGATAATATAGCTACTAACACATTACAGCTTACTGGGATGATACATAGTTTAGTTAGCTAAACCTCTAAACACTTACCCAAAAAATGCACAGACACTCAAGAAAAAAAGCCAGTTTACATTAACATCCATTAGACTACCCCAGTACTGAGATTTTTAGTCACAAAGCATAACTGAGCATAAGCCAGAGACACTTTTACTTCCTAAAAAAAAAAAAAAAAGCCTCATGATACCAAACCAAATCCTTAAGATGCCTATATTATACTCTATTTAGGGCTTCTTAGTTTCTTTTTCTTGTGGCTGAATAAGACTATTGTCCATGCAAATAACTCAGAAAATATCTGTGCTTTCTATCAAAAATTCAAAATCTTACTTTCTTATTTATTTTTCTGAGCCTCCAGTATCTTGCAATCAAAAATCCACTTTGGATATAAATTAAACCTAAGAGTTATTAATCAGTTGCAATGTATGGATTGTATTTGGATTCTGTTTGAAACAAACAAACCTTTTGAGACAACCAAGAAAATTCAATACTGGCCTGGTATTTGATGAAATTAAGAATTACATTTCATTGTATGGTATGTTACAATGATACAGTGATGTTGCTAAAGAGCCCTTATTTTTGAATCCATACTGAAATATTTGTAGATGAAATGATACGATGCCTAGGATTTTCTTTGCAATCCAAGGCACATGGGGCACAGGGAATGGGATGGGTGGACAGGGAGGGATTGGGTAGATCAATGAGTGGTTGAAAGGTTAGCTATGAATTGACCATTGTTAAAGCTGAGTGATAAGACCATGGGTGTTTCTTTTACTAGTCAGTATATTTTTGCACATGATTGAGATCTGCTATAAAAAGAGATTAATCTCCACATCTCTACTATCTATAGTAAGAAATACAGACTATTCTCAAATTTTATTAATTTTTTAAATAAATTTTATTTCTCCTATCAATTTTATTAACTTTTTTCCAAAGATTTTTTTTTTTTTTTTTACTATCTGGATAGTGGGATTTTTAATATAAATGTATTTACATAATGCAAGAAAAGTAACATGTATTATTCACTGTATATGCATTATTTAGATAGTTATCTCATTACTTTTTATTCCCTAGATACTGTAAGTTTCTGCATCCAGCTAAAACCATTCCCATCTCTGGAAAGTTGGCCTGGCTTTTCTGGTGCCCAAAAAAATTTGGCAATATTTAGACATCTGGGTGAAGCTTGGGGCCTGTATACCAGGGGAGGGTGGCATGGTTGAGAGTTCAAATGAGGTCTCATTGTAAAGGAGACCTTTGGTAAGAACACTTGTGTAGAAATAAAAGTAAGCCGATTTGTACATAAAGTGGAGATGAATAAGGAAAGGATACTCTAGTATTCTAAATCAAGCATATGTCACTTGTGTTTTAGACATGAGTACCTCCTCCAAGTTCTGTTTAAGTGGTTCAAATTTGGTAATTGTGTAATGTTAGTAATCTTGATACAGGTACAAAGTAGTGAAACCTATAATTTCAGTAGTGAAACTGATGGCTTAAATGGTTCTAGGCTCTCATTTGAGCCCTTGTGTTTTTCTTCAATTACAACATTCAAAAGATTGAAGAAGACAAGTTTTTATTTCCTTGATTTTACTAATAGGTGTTACCAGATAATTTGCCGCATTTTATTCTTCAAAAGAAAATGCGCCATCAAATCCTCAATACATTGGATAAATTACCACAAATTTTAATTAATAATTGCTAAAAGGAGCAGAGAAGAATAATTTTAAACGTAGAAAGGTGTTAATGAAGATCTCCTTTCCAACCCTCACTCAGCCATACATGCAGAACACACATCTATTAGAATGGGGAGTTTTTTTGTTGTTTTTTGGTTGGTTTTTTGTTTCAAATGAAATGTTATAATAAACTCACTGGTGGTGTTTAATATTCTGCTAAGGCTAAATGAAGAATTCTAAAACTACTAGAATCCCAATGTTTGTTGTTTTTGTTAGAGGAGATCTTAATTTCAACACGGATATAGTTCCAACTCAACTCAGTGCAAGCAGACATTGTCAATAGAGCATTGCAAATGCCAGTCTTGTCTAGAATATTGACCACACAAACTAGAACCTATAGCACCACCACCCTACTACCCCCATGGCAGTGTGACAACCAAATGTATTTCCAGACACTACTAAATATCCCTTCAAGAGTATTGAAAACCACTGGTTTACAGCAATAAGCTTTCAAATATGACCCAAACTTGGCTCTTCCATTCAAAGCAACTGAGCTTTCTAAAATATAAACATCATTATACCATTCCACTGTTTAAAACCCCTGAATGCTCCCCACAGTGCTCAGGATAAAGTCAAATTTCTCAGCTTGACATTCAGAGTCCTTAATGACCTGCTCATCTCTCCAGCTTCATCTCTCAACATAAGCCCACTTACACCCTCTAGTTCAGCCATACCGATTTATCTTATCAGTTAAATTAAGATGCTACACTCTCATCACCTGCAAGCCTCTCTCCATGTTCTTTTTTCTCCCTGTAAGTGTCCACTCCATTCCATGTTTCTATCTTGATGTGATTAGCTCTTCAGATCACCTAAATTGTCTTCCTTAAAATATCATCTATGATATGCCTAAAATAGACTTTGGTGTGCCCATAGCATCTCTTATGTGCCGCTATAGCATCCTGTACTAACATATCATAGCATTATTCACTGTGTATTAACTGTTACCTTTCTTGTCTCTCTAGTGATTTCCCTGAGAGAAGAACTGTATCTTATCTTCATATTCCCATTGCCTAGTACAATTCCAAGCATATACTTAGTGTACACTTACTATAGGTTGAATGAAAAAGAACTGAGGAGTTACACGTCTATACAGGGTAACTATGGGGAGGGATGCAATCAATCAGAGAGATTATGGCAAGAAAAAGAAGCCCAGGGGAAGAACCCTGAAGAACACTGACATTTAAAGACTAGAAATAACTCAAGAGACTACAAAAATGTACCAGAAATAGGAGAAAAATGAGAAGCATCATGTAGCAAAAATGAAGGGAAGCTACCATGTTTGTCTACGACTTGGCAATTAGCACAATCCCTGACATACAGAAGATGCATATAATTGCTGAAAATTGTTGAATTTAAAGGAAATTATAAATATATGTATTTATATATATAAGTATATATATATGTTGCCCAGGCTGGAGTGCAGTGGCATAATCTCGGCTCACGGCAACCTCTGCCTCCTGGGTTCAAGCGATTCTCCTGCCTCAGCCTCCCAAGTAGCTGAGATTACAGGCACCTGCCACCATACCTGGCTAACTTTTGTATTTCTAGTAGAGACTGGGTTTCACCATGTTGGCCAGGCTGGTCTTGAACTCCTGACCTCGTGATCCGCCTGCCTTGGCCTCCCAAAGTGCTAGGATTACAGAGTAAGCCACTGTGCTTGGCCAGGAAATAGTATTTTAATAATAGAGCTATCAGAAGTGTTAAATACTACAGAAAACTTAAGTGACATAAAGGCTAAAATTTGTCTATGGTGAGCGTGGTAGCAATAATTTCTTTCTTTAGGCTACTTCTATTTGTCAAAAGCAATAATTTGAATAGGATGGAGGTGAAACTAAGATTGAAAAGAGCTAATGGTGGGGGAGGAGGAGGGTGATGACAGCTAAAGCAGCTTTCCAAGAGATGGCATGAAGGAGAATGTAGATACCATATTTTACAATGGGAAATGAACATGTTTTAATTCATGAATGGAAGAGACAGACAGAAAAAGAGGTTAAAAATATGGAAAGGGAAATGACCTGAGGACTATGGTTCCAAAAAAGGATAGGACCGTTAGCCCCAAATAGGATTAAGGGGATTTCCTCCCTCGATTAAAACAAAAAAAAAAGGAGGAGGAAGGAAGACACTGAGTTTGCAGGCAGAAAACATGAAATTAATAGAGTTTCCTCTTGATGACTTCATTTCCTGTATGGAGGTACTATCACCTGCTAAGAGTGAAAGAGAAGGTAGTAAACAAAGGGAAATAAGAAAGAAGTTGATCTAAAATAATTGCTGTAAAGAGCTGACTTAAAAAGAGAAACAGAAAACATGTTAGCCAGAAAAATGGGGCTAGTGTTTTTTGAGGGGCATCAATTTCTGTGATTCCGAAGAAATGCTCAATAGGTCAGATTTGAAAGGGGAAAGAGATAGAGAATGGAAATGATCAAAGTTGGCTTTGGTCTAGAGTGTGCGCTGGGAGGACAAGAGACAAGAATAATGGCAAAAAAGAAGATGAAGGGTGAGCAAGGGTCTAAGTTTCTTAGAAAAGAAAATTAAAACAGAGAACTAGTAAAGGGGAAAGAGATGATCAGAAGTACTGACAGTCTCAATCGTGTCAGAGAGCAATAGAAATAAAAACATGAATGATCTGAAAAGAAGGCTGGAGACAAATGTGATCTACCACAAATGTGACATATTCAATTTTTAAATGTTTAGACTTAAAATTTATCTGAAAGAATAGACAGAATATTCAGGAAAATTGTGAAAACAAAAGAGTAGCACGGAAGACATGCTCTACAAGCATAAACAAATAATCAGAAGCTTCTACTACTTGGAACAGCTTAGTGTTGATTCAAAATAGATCAATGGAACAGAGAACAGAGGTAGAAATGGGAATCTAATAGCTGATACAGGAAGAATTCAAAATCAATGAGGAAAGCAAATTATTGAAGAAATGAGGTTAGCAGTTGGCTAGCCGCTCGGAAACAGATAAAAAAATGTATCCACACTACTCTGTTTATATCAATATAAATTTCAAAAGATAGCAAATTTAATGCAAAATAAATATAGTAAAGATTTCATAGTTGGAACAGTTTCTGGAGAAGCAAAATTTGAGAATGTGGTATAAGAGGCTGAAATGAAGTGAAGACAAAGGTCACCAGAATACAGAAGAAACTCTCCACCTAGGGTTACTGTCTGAGGTGTCTACAAAGTCCCAACGAGGCTGTGGTCTGCAAAGTTACCCTGCTAAAAATATACCTGATTGACTCAAGCTACTTCTGAAATGTACTATGTGCATTTCATTCTAAAAGTTAGGCATCCCAAATCGAAAACACAGGGTCCTCCTGACTCAGCCAGATACCTGAGGTTAAATTATCAATCCTCTCTGATAGTGTCCACACGCACTTTGGAATTTGAAACACACTGCAGGGATTCTCCTCTAGACCTATGTGGTTAAGCCCTCCGTTACCTGAATTGCTGACTTAAATTTTTATGTTGTTAAATCTTAACTGCACTAATCTGATCAATCTCCTTAACTTGCAGATTTATACTTACAAAGCTGCCAGTCAAGTTATTTTTATCTCCTATATTCAATTTGACATCATTATAATTTCAATGCTATAATAGTTCTCTCGATAGCAAGGAATTGATGCCATTGATAATAATATACTTCTGGTTCCCATCATCTTGGTTTCTGTTTGTTGATTTTAGTACATACGATATATATGATTCCTTATTAGATAAACCTTATTTATTTTGCTGCCATCCCCAAATGAATCATTACCTCTTCTTGCTCTTCTTCATCATATTCCTCCTGTTCTGCAGCATCATCGTCATCGTCATCATCACCTTCTTTACTTTTCTCTTTGCTGCCTTCTTTATCTTCATTTTCCTCATCTGATTTTTCACCATCGTCTCTTTTTTCCAATTCCTGGTATAAGCATGTTTCATTAATTTGTTTTTTTTTTTTTTTTTGGGAAGGGGGACGGAGTCTCGCTCTGTCACCCAGACTGGAGTGCAGAGGCGCAATCTTGGCTCACTGCAAGCTCCGCCTCCTGGGTTCACGCCTTCTCTGCCACAGCTCACCAGTAGCTGGGACTACTGGCGCCCGCCAGCACACCTGGCTAATTTTTTGTATTTTTAGTAGAGACGGGGTTTCACCGTGTTAGCCAGGGTGGTCTCGATCTTCTGACCTCGTGATCCTCCCGCCTCAGCCTCCCAAAGTGCTGGGATTACAGGCTTATGGAAACCACTAGACTGCTGACTTCCCTGCTTAGCCTTAAGGGAACAGTTATCTATCACCTTATTCTAATCCCATCTTAACACCACCTCCAGGTCACCACTAGGAAACTATCAGTCAACTCAAGAAAGAAGGAATTTACTATCTCACCATGAAACCAGCATTTTCTTTGATTTTGTTACTTAATAATTGGGTTTCAGATTAATACTGGGCTTATCAGCTCTAATGCACAATGCTTAATTTCCCTCCTACCTTCTCTTTTTTTTTTGAGAGAAAGTCTCTCTCTGTCACCCAGGCTGGAGTGCAGTGGCACAATCTCGGCTCACCGCAGCCTCCTCCTCCTGGGTTCAAGTGATTCTCCTGCTTCAGCTTCCTGAGTAGCTGGGACTACAGGCGCACACCACCAAGCCTGGCTAATTTTTTAGTAGAGACAGGGTTTCTCCATGTTGGCCATGCTGGTCTCGAACTCCTGGTCTCAAGAGATCTGCCCACCTTAGCCTCCCAAAGTGCTGGGATTATAGGCATGAGCCACAGTACCTCGCGGTCTATCCTACCTCCTTCTAAACTATTTGAGGTGACTTAGTTTATGGAGAACTTTTAGGATGTTATTTTGTTTTCCTTCTAACATAAAAGGAGAAAAAATAAGGTAATAGTATTATTTCAAAATGTCTATGTTTCACTTTATACATGAGACCATTTAACACTATTATTATAATAGCAAGTCATCCTGGGCTAGATTATCCTAGTTGCATTTTATCTGTGTCTTTATCTCTTTTCTCTCTCATTATTTACTTCCTGTTGCCAGGAATTCTTGTTTCTTAATATATCTGGCAGATGGAGAAGAAAGAGAGAAATTAAAACTCAAATCACAGTCAATACCAGCAATTATTAGAAATTCTAAAAAAGAAGACAAAAGAGAGATGCAGTTTGGAAAGCTTTGATTCCATGAGAGTTCCACTTATCCACAAGTGGAACCATCAGGGAATAGTACACAAAATTAACTTTAAAATTACATCTTTGTATTTTTATTAGGACTACCAACAATTTTTTTCATTTAATAAAAAGTGACCTATGTTCATTACTGTCATTATCTGTTCACTAAATTGTACTATGCTCAATTTGCACATATGATAGAATTTCACAAGTTTTCCAGGAGTCAATAATTTCACATATTAATACTCATAATTAAGGCATAAATCACCTCAGCTAAAATGTGATTAGTCCCCTAAACAGAAATTGGAATATTAATGCATGAATCTGCAAACACTCCATCTCTATTATAAAGTATTTGCTTTGTAGATTACATACAGAGAGAAAACAGGTTTTATATCTGGAGTAACTACAACTTAGCTATTCCTTTATTGGTTCTTAAATGCGTATCTTTAAAAATTGTAATTAATTCAAATTTGAATTTAAGGAAACCAAAGACAATAATAGAGAGACTACATTAGATAGGCTCAATTTCTAATCAAAATTCAAACTCTACCTTTCCTGTCTGCTTAACCCACTCAGGCAGAACAAATAACACCAAAGTAATAGACATAAGATGATTTATCTTGATACTGACTCATATGTTGTCTTATATGAGTTATTACTACAATATAATGTGTGCAATTTTTCCAAATGGAAATCCTTTTGGAAAAGTGCAAGTAAAGCGTGCTTATGGATCTTTTGCAGCATCTATAATAAGATATACACACATATATGATGCTATGTTAATATTATAACTTTTTTTTATATTTTAATCAGATCACAGTAAAAAGACCTGCAACCAATAAGTTTGTGTAGTTAATAGGAAACTGTAGTGCCATATTTATTTAGCTCTGTGCAGGGTACACACTATGTCTAAAAAATCATCCTATTATTTTATAATTAAGAACATAATTATTTAAACCAGTTATGTAAAAGTACGTTTTTTTTTTTTGGAGAAGGAGTCTTGCTCTGTCACCCAGGCTGGAGAGCAGTGGCACGATCTCGACTCACTGCAAGCTCCACCTCCCAGGTTCACATCATTCTCCTGCCTCAGTCTCCCGAGTAGCTGGGACTACAGGCGCCGGCTACCACACCCGGCTAATTTTTTTGTATTTATAGTAGAGACGGGGTTCCACTGTGTTAGTCAGGACGGTCTCGATCTCCTGACTTCGTGATCAACCTGCCTCAGCCTCCCAAAGAGCTGGGATTACAGGCATGAGCCACCACGCCTGGCCAAAAGTACTTTTTAAATACAGTGCCACATAGGAACTAGGAAGTCTATATTTCTATTATTGCTATCTCAAATATCTTTAAAAAAAATTCTCATCTTTATTTCCACCATATAGATCTAAATCAGACTCATAAAATAGGTTAAAAATAGCAGATTTATACAACTTTTTAATAAAAACTGATCTCAAAGTCACATACATTGTCTCACTGCTTCATTCCTTTTGCATTAAGCTACTAGTTTCAGCTCTTCTACTTACTAGTCTCCATTTTCTCTCCTGTTGAGATTTAACCATCCAACCTTACTACTTTACAGATTTAAGAATAAAATGAATAATATAAAGACACTGAAAACAGTGTTCAATTATGGACAGAGAGCAGTTCTTCTGGTTTAAATATTATACAGCCTTACAGCCACCATACAGAGCCTCCTGTTATGCAGAAAAAAGAAACCTCAGATATTAGTTTACCACTAATTACTCACACATTAATCATGAGATTTGAATGTATGTCACTCCCTATCCATCCATTAATGTACTATTATAAAAAAATTTGCTACTGTTTTTGCTGAAAAAATCAGCAATAAGAGAGTCATCTGGGAACAACTTTTGCTCTACTAAACTCATTGGTATTTCTAGATTTAAATTTCCAGTTTTACCAGTATGTGTCCTGAAAAAGGTGTTTAAATGTAGAGAATATGGAAACACAATTTGTTACCAGGAGAAACCACACCCAGAGGTCCAGATCAATCTTCCTTACAGCACATGTCATCTTAGTAAGTTTTCTCCAGGAAGCTTTAAGCATAGCCAGAACCTGAGTTCAATCAATACAAACTGGCTAGAACTGCAGTCCCATCATTCCAGTATAGTTAAACCTGACAGTTATCACTGCTCCTTCGTCAGTACTCTGGCTTTATTTTTCAGACATGTTATCTCTAACTCAAGTACTGGTCAAATAATAAAATAAAAATATGAGTTTCCACTACCAAGTAGCTGTGCCTACTTGGCCAGGCAAGTAAAAAATTTAAAGCCTTGACTTCCTCATCTGTAAAGAAGGAATAATACCCACCTCTCCTTGTTGTTACGAACTTTTATGAACATAACATATGTAAAGAGCTCATCAAGGAGGCTGGCACAGAATAAGTTTCAATAAAGTGTTAGCTGTTACTGTCATCATCATCATCAAAGCAAGACAATGCATGCACTGATAATGGTAGTTAATTGGTATAATCTCCATAAAGAGCAATGTAACAATAGCTATCCATTTCATACAGTGCACGTAAGTACTGACCAAATATTGTAGAAAGCTACCCTACACATGTGAAATGACATACTTAACATGAATTCATTGCAGCACTGTTAATAACAGCAAAACACTAGATGAAACATAATGTCTGTATGTCCAATTATGTAGCACATTAATTAAATAAATTACAGTTCATTTTTATAGTGCAGCCAAAAAAAAAAAAAAAGGATGAGGTAACTCTACACAGACTGATATGGAACCACATCCAAGGTATTTTGTTAAGTGATAAAATGAAAATGCAGAATGTAATACGCTACCTCTGTCTTTAAAAAGAAAAAAAAAAACCTCGTATTTGCTATGTATGAAATACTTCTGAAAAATACATATAAGAAACTAGTAATATTGGTTGCCTATAGGAAGGGAACTGGATGACTAAAGAAAGGAATAGGAGGGAAATTTTTCAGTGTTTTAACCTTCTGAATCTTACATTTTTAAATTTTTGAAATATTTAAATTTTTAAAATTTTCAGTGTTTTAACCTTCTGAATCTTACATTTTTATTTGTGAAATATTTAGATAAAGAAAGCTATAAAAATAAGTTCTATAAAATACAGTTTTCCCTCAATATTCAATACTTAACATAAGACCAAAAAAAGCATTAAAACAGTACATATTAACCAACAGGAGGAAAAATGAGAAGTTTTTTAAAAAATTACATATGTAACTCTTTGTAAAACTTTTTCATGTTTCTCTCCCCCTGCATGATTCAAATACAAGCGGAAAGGGGGATACAGTGAAAAAGAAAGAGGTGACAGAAGATGAGGTGAGTGGCCAGGCAAGTGCTAACGAAGGACAGGACAGACCCTCCATATCTCCCAGCCCACAAAGTTCAAACCTTCCCAGTTACCTTAAACACTGGGTTCGCTTCTGCCAAATTTTCATTATTAAAAAGTAAGAGAATGCTGAAAGGTTGAGACAAGAAAGCAAAAGGAGGTAGGATCTTTTACATTTTTTCAGTTCACTTGTATAGTAAGAAGAAAACCTTACCTCAATTTTTTTCAACACATCTGCAGTATTAGTGAGTGATGTGCCTTTGCCTGCGTCTTTTGCCTTTTTGGGTTTTGGGCCTGCTGAAGTAAAACTACCAGTTAACATATTTTTCTGCAACTGCAACTGTGTATTATATTTCCTTGTCTTTGTGTATGCTGTCCAGCATTGTGCTACTGCATCCTAGGCAGTCACATAGTTTCCAGAGTAAATTAATTTTCTCAAAGAATAAACAAATCACACCTCACCAATTTTCCAATGATAAGGAATAAATGATAATCACTTAATAGGATTTTTCTTTTTTTAAGACTGAAGTATATTTTTTACTAGTACTGAAAATTGGTACTGGCAATTAATATCATTAGGGCCAAAACCGCTAAAATGTTGCCTCAGATAGAGAAGTAACAAGAGTATAGTGAAAGGCTCCCACAAATCCACCTGCACTGGCTTCTCCTTCACTGATAAGTGTACTTCATTCTAACCAGAGGAATCTTACCAGGTGTCCAAAATAAAAAGGAAGTGCAGGATAAATATTCTTTTCGGCTTTAAAGTCAACTATAGATGTGTGATCCTCTAGGACATGACCAGTATCATTCAGGCACAAGTATTTTATTATGAAAATAATATACTTGCCCAATAAAAATGAATGGTATAAAAGACAGAAGATAAATTGCCATATCTCAAAATTCTGCATTCAAGCTAAATATGATTATATACTGTATCTTTAAAATAAAATAAAAATATGTCTGCCTTAAATACATATGTGCAAAAAATGTAAATTGTGTATGTACTTCAAATATGTGCATTTGCCAATGGTGAAAGAGATGACAATGCAACACACAGTATCTTTGGAATAAAGATTACAATAGTTAAACTGAATATACTCATCATATGAATCTGAAAACTCAAAAGCATATAAGTGAAATAAAATGTTGTAATGGCTTTGGGCTACATAATTTTTTTTTCTACTCCTATCAAAAATATTGCATTTTGAGGCTATTCTGAAAGTGCAGGGTCTAGAGAACTATTTCACATATAAATTCTGCCAGTCAGTTACCAAAGCAATATGATAAGCGACAAAATTGTCCCATTGTGGTCAGAGAGTATTACAGTTCTTTTCCAAAATAAAACTAAACACTTAGAAATTACTTTGCAAGAGGAAAATGTGGCTCAGGAAGATGTAATTTTGTTAAAGATTAACATTTAAGCTACAAAAGAAAATTTTTAGATTGTGGTAGATGACCCATAACTGATGGAATTACAATTTACTGTGTTATACTGAATTGCCCCTCAGGGAATTACTGAGCTTAGAGCTCCCAAACATATGTATTAGTGATTCCTCAAACAAAAGTAGTAGTTAAATTTAATGATGGGTAACTTTCTCTGACCCCCTTGGGGGCAAAGACTGTTTAATATGAACTGTAACAAATAAAATATAGCATCACATATGAACAAGATCTCAAGAAATATAATATTAATGCCAAAAAAATTAGCTAAGAATGTATTCTACTTACATCATGAAATCTTTTTCTAAGAACTTTTTATCAAATTATTTAATTTCATAACATAAACCTTTGTTAAAGGGATACTAAAGAATATGGTCAGGTAAGTAAACTAATTTTTTTTTCCCATCTTTGACCAAGTATCTGCATATATTTGAATAGTTTCTTTTAACACATGGCAGTAGCTGGTTCTTCAAGAAACAACTGTTTTCAGCCTTTGACTCTATTGTTACTGTTCACTTCTATGTAAATCAATGGAGGACATCTTAACAAAAAGGAGAGTCCAAGCCTATCAGAAACAAGACATAAAAATTACACAATATGTAATAAAAAATACTAGAGCAACATGAGAAACAAAGTTTCATTGTTGCTTTGTTCATTAACAAATGGAAATCCTGATACATTGGGAGCTTTTACTAATGATTAATGTGGGTATAAAATCCCAGGGATGACATATTTGAAAACGTTAACTCCTCCAAAATGAGCACATTCTTTTCAGCTTTAAAGTCAACTACAGATGTGTGATCCTCTAGGACATGACCAGTATCATTCATGCACAGGTATTTTATTATGAAAATAATATATTTGCCCAACAAAAACCAACAGTATAAAAGACAGAAGATAAATTGTCATATTTCAAAATATTCTACACGCAAGCTAAATATGATTATATACTGTATCTTTAACATAAAATAAAAATACACATGTGCAAAACATGTAAATTGTGTATGTACTTCAAATATGTGCATTGTATTGTATGTCAATTATATCTCAATAAAGGTGTTAAAACAGGGAATGGGAATTCCTTCTCTTCTGTTCGTTGATAACCCCACTGTTCTTAACCTCGCTGGCACCTTCCTTTTTCACTCTTCATTCTTCATAGCAAAATTCTAAGAAGACTCATGTATGCTAGCTGTCTCCATTTCCTAAGCTCCATTTACCGGTTAAGCCATTCCAATATGGATTCTACCTCTGCGAATCTTTCAAAAAGCTCTCACTGAGGTCACCAATAACTGACGTGCCAAAAATGAGCGAACATTTTCCAGTCTTCATCCTATTTGACCTCTTAGCAGCAATGTCTAACATCTTTTAACATTGTTGACCACCTTTCGAAATACCAGACTACCTTGTGTAACTCTGCTCTCCTGGTTCTCCTCCTCCCTCTCTCTTTCCAGTTTCCTTCTTTGCCATTCAGTCTCCTCTACCAGCCCATTAAATGTTGGCATTCCTGTAAGCTCAGGTTTAGGCCCTCCTTTCTTCTAATTATCTACTTCTGCCCTAGACCATCTTACCCTTTCTTTTGGTCTCAATGATCGTATCTCTGATAATGACTACAGTCTCCATTTTGAAGTCCATTCCCCTGTGTCCAACAATATATTTAACATTTCTATTTGTATATTTCAAAGGAACCATAAGTAACACCTTTGAACTGAACTTCTGATTTTCTCCCACAAACCTGTTATTTCCCTATTTCCTCTTCCACAACTGTGTCTCAGTAAACTCCTACTCATCCTTCAATCTCAACTCCAGTTCCATTTCCTCAAAGAACCCTTCCCAATAAGGACAGTGTGTTTTTGTTTAATGATGTTACCCCATTTGACTACAAGCTCCATGAGGGCAAGGATTATTCCCACTTTGCTCAGTTTTATTCCTGTCAACACAATGTCTGGCAATAACAGATACCTATTTACTGAATGAAATTACTAAAGAAAAACAAACTGCAAACATTCACTTTGGCATTCTTCTATACAACATAAAACTCTATTTTATTGGTTTCCCAATTTTAAAATGTTTTAGTAATAATTCATACTGTAGCCACTATAATAAAAAATCTGCAATTATGCAAATGAAAAGGTCCACAGTAATTGAAGAGTCTTTCTTAGCATCTCCAGGATTCCACAACTAAAGGAAAATCCTAAGTGAATAAATACAGAAAACCAAATATTGCATGTTCTCACTTATAAGTGGGTGCTAATGAGCACACATGGACATAAACATGGGAACAATAGACATAGTGAACTACTAAAGTTGGGAGGGGAGGACGGGGTGGAGTGGGTTAACTACCTATTAGGTAGTACACTCACTACCTGGGTGCAATATACCAATGTTAACAAACCTGCACATGTACCCCTGTATGTAAAATAAACACTGAAATTGCTAAAAAGATATAAAATTTAAAAATTAAAAAATAAGACACAAAGAAAAGGCAACAACTAAGGGAAAAAAACACCCCAAAGATAAACAACAAAAAACAAGCTTTAGCAAAACAGTTATAATGCATTTTTATATATACAGGGGGACAGAGAGAGGGAGAAAGAGAGTCAGGGTCTTAGAGTGTGAAGGTCTTGCTCTGTCTTCCAGGTTTAAGTGCAGTGGTGCAATTTGGGTTAACGGCAGCCTCCGCCTCTTCGGCTCAAGTGATTCTCCCACCTTAGCCTCCCAAGGAGCTGGGACTACAGATGCATGCCACCACACTTGGCTAATATTTGTTTTAACTTTATGTAGAGACAAGTTCTCACTATGTTGCCCAGGCTGGTCTCAAACTCCTGGGCTCAAGTGATCCTCCCACTTCAGCCTCCCAAAGTGCTGAGATTACAGGCATGAGCCCTCTTGTCTGGCACAAAATACTTTAAGAAAAGCATTAAGAACAGTTGAGTATAATTTTGGGTTGACAAGTCCATATTAACAGAATATAAGAAATAACCTTTTCCTACCTGAATTACTATTATATTAGTGAATGTACCTTTTTTACATTTATTTCTTGGCATCATCTCTCTTGGAAGTCTTCTCCAATCTATACATAAAATAAAAAATAAAAAAATTGCAGTTTCCTCTAGGAATTAGTGGCATTGAATATAACTATGTGAAGGACACAATAGTTGTCCAGGAAATGACAATAAAGTGCCTTAGTATCTGACTTTACAAATTTAGCTTGAAACATAAAAAAACAAAATCCAAATATAACAGACAATGATATATTTTCTCCTATAAAGAAAAGTTTATTACAATAGCTTTGAAACAGTGCTATAAACTTTTTTTGGGAAGAAAATCTTACGGTAATTATTTGTGGGTGCTGGAATTATGACAGTTTTTCTTAAGTATTATTTATATTTATTTATTTGACTACTTTGTATTTCATAAGTTTTCTGTAGTTGATATATTTCTTATGCAACAAATTTTTTTTTCAAAAGTATGTTACCACAATCCCAACATATGCAAAATGAAATAAACAATTCTAACATCTGAAAACTTTAAAATTAAAAATATAAATAGCTGTCAAAAATAAATTTCCTCCAATAAATAATTTTGCTTATATTACTTAAATAATTCCTCTAATGTGTCACTTTCTTTTAATTTTTAAGCACAGAGTTAAACAGAAAATTGAAGCAACATAAAAGTTGATTTAAAAATACTGCCTGCTAATAAAGAAATTTCGGAGCATTTTTACAAAGCATTTAAATCTCAAGTCATTTTACCTGAAAAATAAATTTTGCTTTGAATATATTTTAGTTTTTGTAAACTATTCATTTTAGATCATGACGGGAATATATAAAGAGAATCATCTGAGAGATGAATACTAATGAAACGGAAGAAATGAGAGACCTAAGTTGTTTCCAACCTTACCAACACTGAAAAGATAGTACTATAATCTGTGAAAACGATAATGCTATTAATGCCATTTATATGTTTTTACATAAGGGCAGTTTCCATAAAAGACCAAGGACAGAGACATAAAAAGAATGTGAATTAAAATGAGAAGACCTGGGTTCTAACAGTATCTGACAGGTCACTTTATTTTTATGACAACTGTTTTTATTTGCAAAATGAATGAGTGGGATGAGATCTCCTTTACGGCCCCTTCTAACTTGTCCATACTCAAGGTAAAGCTTCTGTTTTAGATATAGATCTTTTGAAAAAGAAACCTAACAACTAAAACTAGTCTGCTTGAAAGAAAGGAAGATCCATGAGCTTGGCTTAAAATACCTTTAAAACAAGAATTTTGTTTTCTCTTCAAATGCTCTAAAATTGCTCAGGTGCATAGTATTTGTGCTTCTTGGTACTACAAATTAAAATTGTGATTGTGGCTAATTAAATTGGAAAATCCAAATGGTTTGTTTGGCCTGTCCTATTTTTATAAAAAATATATTTTAAGGGCTGGGCACAGTGGCTCACGCTTGTAAATCCCAGCACTTTGGGAGGCCAAAGTGGGCGGATCACAAGGTCAGGAGATCAAGACCATCCTGGCTAACACAGTGAAACCCTGTCTCTAGTAAAAATACAAAAAATTAGTCGGGCGTGGTGGTGGGTGCCTATAGTCCCAGTTACTCAGGAGGCTGAGGCAGGACAATGGCATGAAAACCTGGAGGTGAAGCTTGCAGTGAGCTGAGATTGCACCACTGCACTCCAGCCTGGCCGACAGAGTGAGACTCCATCTCAAAACAAAACAAAACAAAACAAACAAACAAATATATATATATATACACACACACATATATATAGTTTAAGAACTTTCACAAAAGCACTTCAACTCTTCCTTGTTTTAGCATAAAAATCTTTTCACCTTAGTTTCTAACAGATTTATATTACTAATTAATCACAATAAAAGAACCAGACTCAATTTTCCTATGGTAAAAATAGAAAACTTAGCCTAAAAAAAAATATGAGGTGAGAGAGACAGCCTTTAAAAATTGTTTCCATATTGTGTGTTTTGCAGTTACCTGGTATCCATTCTTCCTTGTATACCTTCATGTATCTTTTACTATACCTTTCAATATCTAGGAGAAAAAAAGAATAAAGAACTCATTAGGAAAATCAAGAGTAACCCTGAACTTAAGCCATTCCTTTAAGACAATTGAAAACAAGAGATAACATTTTTTATTTCACATGCAGGGAGTTTCCTATATTTGTACATAAGAGAATGGGAAAAAGGGTAAGGGTAGGCAAGGTTGGACTTGGTGAGGGGTTACCAATGTGAGGCATAAATGAGTAAGCTGCAAGCCCTACATGCCAACTGCTGAAAACTCTGCAGGGATCCTCTGAGCTTGCCAAAACCAGTAAAGCCACAACTGCGGCTCTTGCTTCAGACTGGTCCACCTTATCACAAGAAACACCCTTAAGGAGGGCACAAACTCTTTCCTAGCAGCACAAGTTGGAAAGCAACACTATCACACAAAAGCTTGAAGCCATGTTCATCATAAAAAGTAGTTCAGGAGTTAGTCATGAAAAGCGAAAGGTAATACTAAAGATGAATAGATAAAAACCAGGGACCGAATACGTACTGATTTTTCTTCTATGTTAAAAATATGCTTCCAAATAATACAACCACGTATGACAGAAAGGTAACTAAAATAAGCAGTAGATCAGAGACCAAGAGATCAGGTTTTTCTAGGTATTTTAACTGCTTGACTTCAGGTCAAATGTTTTAACTAATCTTGCCAAGTTTTTCACCTGTAAAACGAAGTCAGCACAAATGAGAGATTCCTAGCACTTGTAACACAACGACTTCTTTTTAAGAATTTTCTCCAAAACAGATTCCGTATTTTAAATAATTTTAACCTTCAGTATACCAGAAAAAACAATTTTTAGCCTTTTTCCTCTGGGTACAATAGACCATTTTTTATATTTTAAAATATTTTTAGGTTAATTTCAAATAATGAAATACAGAGAATAAATAAAAAAGATAACAGATAAAAGAATAGCTATTGAAAACTAATCATTGGAACCCAATTAAAAAGGGGTATAAAGGATTTGAATAGACCTTTCTCTAAAGAAGATACAAAAATGGACAAAAAGCATGAAAAGATGTCCAACATCACTAATCATTACGGAAATTCAAATCAAAACTACAATGAGATACTGTGTTACAACCACTAGGATGGCTAGGATCAAAAAAACAATAAGAAGCATTGGCAAGGATATGGAGAAATTTGAACCCTCATATATTATTGATAGGAATGTAAAACAGTACACCCACTTTAGAAAACAGTTTGGCAGTTCCTCCATATGTGAAATACAGAGTTATCATATGATCCTATGTGCATACTCAACAGAAATGAAAACATACGTTCACACAAAACATGTACAGGAATGTTCATGACAGGATAACTTATGTAATCCTGAAAGTGAACCGACCCAAATGCCCATCAAGTGATGAGTGGATAAACAAAATGTGGCATATATCCATACAGTGGAATGTTATTCAGCCATAAAAAGGAATGAAGCACTCATATGTACTAAGCCATGAATGAACCTTGAAAACATTATGGCAAGTGAAAGAAGCCAGTCACAAAAAGACACATATTACAGGATTCCACTTATATGACATGGTCAGAACAGATAAGTCTCCACAGACAGAAAGCAGATTTCTGGTGCCACGGGTTGGAAGGAGGGAAGAGTAGGGACTGACTACTAAAGGTTACAGAATTTCTTTTCTGGATGACGAAAAGCTTCTAAAAACTTAGATAGTGGCTGGGCATAGTGGCTCACACCTGTAATCCCAGAGTGGCTGGGTGCAGTGGCTCACACCTGTAATCCCAGCACTTTGAGAGGCCGGGGCAGGTAGATTACTTGAGGTCAGGAGTTCAACACCAGCTGGGCCAACATGGTAAAACGCCATCTATACTAAAAATACAAAAAAATTAGCCAGGTGTGGTGGCGTGTGCCTGTAATCCCAGGTACTGAGATTACAGGTACTGAGATTGAGGCAAGAGAATCACTTGAATCCAGGAGGCAGAAGTTGCAGTGAACCTAGATCATGCCACTGCATTCCAGCCTGGGTAACAGAGCAAGACTCTGTCTCAAAACAAACAAAAATTAAATAGTGGTGTTGGCTGCATAGCTCTGTAGCTATATTAAAAGTCACTTAATTGTATACTTCAAGAAGTAAATTTTACACATGTGGATTGTGTCTCAGTAAAGCTGTTACTTAAAAATCATAAAACTAGGCCCAACACAGTGGCTCAGGATGGATGTAATCCCAGCACTTTGGGAGGCCACGGCATGTGGATTGAGTCCAGGAGTTTGAGACCAGCCTGAGCAATATGGTGAAACCCCATCTCTACAAAAAATACAAAAATTAGCCAGGCATGGTAGCTCATGCCAGTGGTTCCAGCTACTTGGGAGGCTATGGTGGAAGGATCGCTTGAGCCTGGGAGGTGGAGGCTGCAGTGAGCTGAGATTATGCCACTGCATTCCAGCCTGGGTGACAGAACAAGATCCTGTCTCAAATAAAAATAAATAAATAAAGCTATTGGAGATTTTACTAAGCAATTAACTATAGCAAATCCAAATTTATATTACATGCTTTACTGGTTTTGAAGGTAAATTTAACCAAAATGGGCAAAGTCATTTGAATGCAATTTTCTGTGCATCAGCTGCCACACACAAACCTAGAATATATGCCTTCTGTATTTCCTGATCCCAGATTCCAAATGCATCTTTAATAGGTTCTAACTTATCATTTCCTCTGGTTCTTTTTCTCATAGGTGTAACATCTAAATAATTTCATATTACAAATGCATTTCTAGTACAATCTAGCTTATCACTACTTCCAAGTCTTCTTGTACTTACATATCTAAAATGCAATATTTTAAAAAATTTTCATGTCTCATACTTCTATTGAAGAGAGGATGGCCCAGCCATCTTCTTTGCTCTATACTTGCAAAATATTTTCAATATTAAACTTAAAATCACCAATTAACATGATCAATCCAAAAAACAATTTCATGTCTATATAATCAATTTCCTTTTGATCATTATTGTCTCTGCCTTTATGTTGAGCATTTGCCAGTTACAAAACACATCAAATTAATTTTGGTGCATAAATATCATAAAACAAAACAAAAACGATCACCTCATTTTAGCAAATGGGATGTTCCAGGTTTTTGATACAAAGTATTACACGATGAGGTCTTCTTCAAAGATTGACTGTACAAGGTCACCATAATTCCTTTTTAATTCTTGGAGATAGTGTTTACTCATTGATTCTTGAATTTGAGAAAATTCACTGAAGACAATGTCATCTGAAGACTCAGTCTGAGATTTTGCTTATACAATCAATTTAATTATCATCATTAGCATCCAGAGAGCTATCTATCTCTTTGCAATTGTCTTCTGATTCATCTAAGAACTGTGGAATATGTTTTACTGTCAATTTTGGACATTATGAGCAGAAAATTAAAAAATTTTGAAATTTTCAATTGTATTAAATGAAAATTAAAACAGAGCAACTACAAATATGAAGGTCTCTGAAGACTTTATGTCTTCTTAAAACACAGATATAATACTTTGGACAATGCAACAGGAAAACTATATGATGACATAATAATTTATTTCAATTGCACAGTCAATTCCATCATTCTCCCGTTTTTTATATTTATTCTTTTTTTCAGTATAGTGGGGAATGTCTGATGAATAATGATAAGGTAATATCTATGATGATGAAATAGGAAGGTATTTCAAGATAGAGAAAAAATAAGATTACTCAGATTCCACAGTTATCTTAGACATATAAAAGGGTTCAATGGGTTGATATGGTATTCTAAGATAAAACGAGTTTTCCTTTTTAAGTAAATTTCTGTTTCTTCTTTAGAAAACCTCTACGCAAGAATAAAAGTTATGAATATCAATCACACAAACAATAAGAACTGCTCCAAAAATACCGTCAAAAATTTATATTGAGTCTCATGGACACGGATGGTACAGCAAGAATTAGTAAGCCAAATTCCATTTATTCAGTAACAAACCTATGGACGTATTTAAGTAAACGTATTATTTCCATTAAGCTGTGAGGTTCTGAAAATGACTTATGACACCATCACCACTGTCAGAATCATGTTTCTACCTCAAAGGACCCTGTAGTTC